TTTTCGTTTTGGCTCCCTGTACTGCTTTTTCTGTGTGATTATTTATGTGCAGGTTGAGAGGCGATTAGCGATATTGGTTCGTTTCAATTTCAACAAGCAACTCTGATACAACAACAACTTTGACACTACAACCATATCAGTGTTGACACATGTACAACAGCAGTTCATCAACAACAGAGCAGTTTGTAGCAGTGAAAACCTATGTCTCAATTGAGATCAACCTCTCTTCATTGCCAATGTTGCCGAGTTGCGACAACTCCAGCAACGACTCCATAAAACATTAGGAGGAAGGCACAAAAAAGTTCAAGATTACCATGGCCGCAAGTTGAAGCCAAAGTGTCCACGCATCGATAACATTGATTCATTTTCACATAAACTCAGCAGCAGCTCTCACATCTTGTTCTGCGGTGTGCCGTCACGCATCCACAACTTACGTTTCATTCACAAAACTCAACAACGTCCTGCAGAGTGTCCTGAAGAAGTGTGTAGCAGGGTCGGATGTGCGTGGATAAAGTATCGAAGATATGTCGATAATCATTGATATGCTCAATTCAACAGTGCGACAGGTTTTGGGTGAAATATTGTGTCTGAATTCTGCTGCTACTCGGTTTCAGTTTCATTGCATTATCTGATTCAGTTTCGCTTATACTTCCAACGAGAACTCGTTATTACAACAACCACAGTCGGGTAACACTATCTTAGACTTGTTTATGGTGATGAATACACTGTTATGGCATTTTCCCGATTTGAATCCTTTGTTGTTTTGTGAAATTTTGATTATATTCCTGACTACTAAAAATCCTGCACCCATGTAAATATTATTGAATCATTGCTGGTGTACTTCACTGTTTGAATTCAGTATAGTTGTTACATTGCGGCAGCATTTTGTTTCAAAAGTTCTGTTGCGAGTAGTAGAGTGTGTAGTTTATTTTGTGTATCGATTCCGTTTCTATGCATTTGATTTCATGTGCATTCATTTAGTTTGGTTGCTGGTGAGGAGACCAAAATAAAGTGATTTCATATTTGTTGTTTCATCAGAGTATTGTGCTGAGTTAGATGTTATAGACATAGCAGTTTGTAAATGTTCTACTGCAGTTTGTATTTTGGTAAAGATAAATATTACATTTGCTGCATACTGGTGGTCTGTTTGATAATGTATTGAAAAAATAGTGCAAAGTATAATTGTATCCCTAATCACTTCAATTATGTATGATTTGAGGTCTGACTACATTATGTTCATGTTAAATTCTGAGCATTGTGATAGTCTGTATTGTTGTTCTAGCCTTGTTTTTGCAATCTGTTCCTCAATTTCTTCCTTGTCGATTTTTTATATGCTTGCGGGTTCTGATTTGGCCTTTGTTGGTTTTCAACGGTAGCCGTATTGAATTGCAAATTTTGCTCTAAATTGGTAGTAGTGCTATACGCATGCCCAGATAATTTGAGTGTTGGTTGCTAATTGTTTATTTTCGGTTTATGTCGGCTGGCTAAATATAACTTAATTTTGTTTATGCATTGTTTCGTGATTGAGTTTATATTATATCCGTTATTGGCTTGTTTACGGTTTGTGAATTATTTGTTTACAAGGATTGGATGGTCGCAAATATTGTTGCAGATTTGAAGTTCATTTGTCTATAATTAGTTCAACTAATTGGTAATGTTTTGCTGGGTCCAATTTAAGCCATTATATCGATACGAGAGTTTTATGTTCTAAAAGTTTTTATTGAAGAACAATAGCATATGGGAGTACAGGGTGATATTAACTCAAGTAAAGAAATACTCACTTGAAAAGTATTTATGTTCCGGCCAGATGTTTGGGAAGGTTTCCAAATGTTATGCTTAACTCTTTCTTAACAAGACAATTAAAAAAAAAAATTTTTTTTAACAAGAGTAGTGTTTTCAAAATTCGACTAATTATTTCTCAACATATTTAATCTAGATTTTTCCTAATTAATTTATCGAAATTTGTGGGCTCTTGGGGTCTAGCATCCCTTGAGTCCTTGAAAAACCGCTCTCGAGGCACTCGCCCTTGAGTTGTGGTTGTTCCGTCTTTCGGTTTTTAAATTGTTTTTTCATTTAATTTAAATTGAAATTTCCAAAAGATATTTTTAATTACTTTTAGACATTTTTATAAGAAAACTCAAATTATTCTTTTAAAAAAATATATTTCAAAATTATTACCAAATAATATTTTAAATATTAAACTTAAAAAAAACTACTTTATTAATTAAGTTAAAACTTTTCTTCTAAAATAATAAAATTTTCTCAAAACAATTAATTATGATTAGTTTTTCATAAAACCTTTTCATAATTGATTAATTTATTTTATATATGAAAATTAAAATTATTCTTCTTAATCAAATTATACAATCTTCCTAAATCAAATTTCAAAACAATTGAATTCTTGGATCTCGCCTTTCTTGGATTTTTAAGCGACCGCTCTCGAGGTGCACACCTTGAGTTGTGATCCTTCCGATCTTACTTCTAGAATACCTAGCGCGCCTAGTCCGAGTACGCTAAACTATTCAAATTATTTTCTAAATCAAATCACGAAAGAATTGAGTTTTTGGGGTCTTGCACTCCTTGAATTCATGAGTGACAACTATTGAGGCGTACGCCTCGAGTAGAGTGTCATTCGAACTTTCGTTCTTAAAACACTTCCCATAATTATTTGGACAAGTACTTTCATTGTCCAACGAACATATTTCATAATTAATGGAATGAAAAAGGTATCGTTGGGATCTAGCATTCCAACGATATCCCGACTAATTGGTTGCGAGGCCGACGTCTCGTTTATCGAGTAGTCGTCATTCTCCCTTAAAATATTCAACCATTCCAATCCTTTTCTCGCCCCCGTGCGATCGAAACCTTAAACCTATTCAAATCCATTCTCTTTCCCAAACCAAAACATCCAATACGATAACACTAAATTCCTCGCCCTCGTGCGATTTCCAACTCAAATACACCTTTTCTCAAAGAACATTATTTAGTCCTTTCTTCCGCGCATATGAACTCGTGCTTCAGCCTCCCCTAGCGAGCAGACAAGCCAACGTTTAGCAGTTAGAATGCGACCTAAACACTCGTTCAGTTTCAAACCCTTTTACCGTAGTTAGCCGAACTACGGCTGCTCTGATTTCTCATTCCCAATGAGAATACGTAGGCATAGGATTGCGATGATCCTAGCGAGCACAATCCCCTATTTACCCATAGTCCCACGAACTACGAATGCTCTGATTTTCCACTTCTTACAAGTGAAGATACGTAGGCACAAGGGCTCCAATCCTTGGCGATCACTCTATCTATAAACCACTCATTCCCCCTATAGGAGAAACATTAGAAGAAAACAAACAAGCGTAGATAACTTTACTCTCGAATCGATCAAGAGGTTCCCGTTGAGTACAACGGACGTAGAGGTTGCTAATACCTTTCCTCTGCGTAATCGACTCCCGAACCTAGAATATTGGTTGCGATGACCATGTTCTTATCTCCTTAAAGGTTTTATCGATATTTTCCTCTTCCATCCCTGGAATGAATAAAGTTCGGTGGCGACTCTGTTCGAAAGTATTTTCTGCGTCCATCGCGAGGATCGTATTTTTCGAGGTACGACAGGTGGACCCGACTCCACCTTAAAGACCACCAAGAAACGTACGTAATCGATGATGCGGTACAGGCGAACATTTAAACCGACCTAGTCGTAGAAATTAGTGTATCATATCTCTCATATGTACCCATTTGTGATTAAATGAAAAATGTAATTATTATTTAATATTAAATTTATTAAATACAATTTAGTTTTTATTTTTAATTATTATTTATTTATTAATTGTTAACAAATATAAAAAATTATTTAGAAATTATTATTTATAAAAATATTATTTATTAAATATTATTTATTAAATATTTTTAAACTTATTATATATTTAAAATTAATTTAAAAAATCGTTTAGGTATGACTCCAACACCAATGGTGTCCCTTGTAAATTATAGGGTGACTCCAAAGGAGATTGCGCCCCCCTATAATTTATAAGGGTGACTCTAAAAGGGATGACGCCCCTGTATAAATTTTAAAAAAAAGTGAAACATTAATTGGTATATTAGGTGAAATGTTGGGTATATTGAAATTTAGGGAGTGAAATGTTGGTTATTTAGGTGAAAATTTTTATTTTTGAAAGTCAAAAAATTATTTAACCCTTTTTAAATATTTCCTATTACTGATTCAACAAACAATAATTATTGCCACGTAATCATTTAAATGTATTTTATTATTTGTATTATTATTCTTTCATGTTTTTTAATTATTTCTAAAATTCTATACAAAACAATGCACAAAACAAAATCTAAACAAAACACGATAGTCTTTCTTTTCCTTCCTTTCGGTTAACCATCTCGCTTGCCGGCGTCCTTCACTTACGACCGCACCAACCTCGCCGCCATCCTCCGCTTTCGGCCGCACCAACCTCGCCGTATTACTTCGATTCTGGGGCTGCACTAATCTCGCCGTCGTCCTTTGATTCCGGCATCGCACCAATCTCTTTGGTTAGAACCCCAAATCTCAAGTTATTTAAATTTTACTCTCTTTCTAATCCTTATTCAACTCTGCATCGATAGTTCAGTAAATTTTAATAGAAATAGCTTGAAATTAGGTTATGATATCCTCATAAGATGTTTTTCAGCTTATTTACACAATGGCATAAGAGAGAGGATTATAGCTTATAAAACAAATTTAACTTTATTTAATTTTTTGTTGTAGAAATAGGTTAAACATAAGCACTTTTTCTATAAGCTGCAAATTAAGTTGTTTATCTAAGTAGCACCTTATTTTAATAAAAATAGCTTAAACATAAGCATTTATGCTATGAACTCATTTTGGATGTTATATTGAATGTCGCTTAGTTTTTTTTTTTAATAACAAACTTTCTATCTTTTAAGCATCACCTGATGGAACTTAAACATTGCGGTAGGTAAGTACTAAGGTTGAAGTGTAGATATTGGTGGCTTAAACAATGGGATCTAACTCGTTGAAGGATTATCTAAAGCGATATGAGAGTAAACCTGAAGAAGACAAGAAAAAGAAGAAGAGAAAGAAGAAAACTCTACCGCAAGCAACTGGCTTATTAGTTGTAGATGAAGATCCAGCCTGGCAGAAACCCATAGATCTAGCAGAAGAAAACGATGACAACTTGTCAGGTGAATAATATAGAAACCCATATGTTTGGCTTCCGGTATCATGTATTTTTTTAAAGGAAGTTTTATATTGTAGTATGCTATTTATTCACAGTAAACCTTATTTTATTTGTCAATGTAGATGGGGAGAAGCCAATAGTTGATGAAGACATTGAAGTAAAGCGTATGAAGAGGCTTGAGCAGCTGAAGGCCAGGCGATCTTATCATGATATATCTGAAGATGGAAGTGGTTGGATTCCACTTTCTTCCAAATCTGAGAATCTTAGTGACTCTAATAGAATGGATGCTGATTTATCCCCTTCGCGCCGGCAGTTGAAGCGCAATGACACTCCATCACCTGAACGTGACTCACAGCCCGCACGTTCTGAGGGACCGAGCCCTGATTTATCTCCTCGTAAACAAAGGGATAGTGACATGTCACCTCCTCGACGGAAACTGAACCCTGATTTATCTCCTCGTAAACAAAGGGATAGTGACATGTCACCTCCTCGACGGAAACTGAACCCGGATTTATCTCCTCCTCGACGGAAACTGAACCCTGATTTATCTCCTCCTCGTAAACAAAGGGATAGTGACATGTCACCTCCTCGACGGAAACATGTTACTAATCCAAGTCCAGATATTTCCCCCCCTCGCCGTGGTAGTCATCAAACATTTGAATACAATGGGAGAAAAAAACATGACACTTATGATTTGGATGATCTTTCTCCACCTAGACGAGGTCGACACGATTCTCCCTCTCAAGATACTTTACATGGATCAGTGTCATCTGATCTTTCACCACCGAGGAAACGCCAGCATAGTGGTGCAAGATCAAATTTATCTGATGTTTCTCACCGTGGTTCACATCCATCTTTGGATCGTGACCTCTCTCCACCAAGGAAAAATCCGAAGGAGCTTTCCATTCCAGCATCTGTTAATGAAAGAAAAACAGGTTTGATTTCTGGTAAAGATATTAGAAAAGAGATTGACAGAAAGAAGAAGGATGATTTGTTGAGGTAAGTAAATGTTCAGTTAATTTATCATTTTTTCAAAAGCACATATTCTTATGTACTCGATGAATTCTCTTTAATTCTCATGCTTAATGCCATAATCCTGTGATTCTGTTTTTTTTTTTTTTTTGTTTAGTGCTGAAACAAACATGTTTTCTAAGTGGTTATGGTAGTATGGAATATTGAGTTAGTTCTTTCTGTAGACAATTCAAAAAAATGTCTCATCACAAAGTTCAGCAGCAAAGGCTATTCTTTTTTTTTTGTTGATTATGGCTACACTTGAATAAGAGTTCTTCTGGTGTGAATGACATGAGAGTAATCCTTGCTTAGTCTCACGAGTCATGAGTCTATAGTTACAATTTGCAGCATAAACAATTAAATTCCATACTTATAGGGATTGCTAAACTAAAAACATGTTTGCAATGTGTTTTCTATTCTATTTGCAAAAGATATAGACTAATTATGAGGAATATCAACAGGAGCAACATCTAAATTAGCTCCTTTAATTTTTGAAAAAGAGATATTAATTAATGCTAGCAAAGAAAAAAGGCACAACTAAAGCAAATGCATTTCCAAGCTGTAATTCATTTATAAAGTTTGTTTCCTTTACTGTGGCATGTAATAATCCTAACTTTTTCTGTTCAATTATGAATATACAAAGCCAATAGAAATATACATGTCAAGAACTAATTCTTCTAAATCTTACGATATTAAGCGGAGGTTCCAGAATAGCTTTATCTGTATAATATTGCTAATATGCCCAGGAAAATGTTGTTTTGAATATTTATTCCTATATGCAGACTTAAACAGATGGACCCTGTCATCAGTGGGCGTGGTGCTGAACCTGTATTTCGTGATAACAAAGGTAAAGGAGTTGAAGTTAATTTATAGTTTATGTTTGTCCGATCTACTGGATGCCTTTGCTTTTTTACATCAAGTTAATCTTTAGTTTCAGTAAAAATATATATACCCCTTTTCTTTGGGTCAAGCTGAATTTTACAATAACTTGAATAATTGAATCAAGTTGAGTTTTGCAGGAGTACGCATTACCAAAGAGGAATACTTAAAGTCAAAACAGAAAGTAGAAGAAAAGCCCAAGGTATGTTGAGTACTGCATATTTTGTCTAGCACTGTGTTTCTTTATCTGGCTGTAGCTTTCTATATGCAATGGGCTGCATATTATAAAGGTTCAAAATATGAATATTCTTGATTTAATTACATTTTCCTGTGTTTTTAGTCTCTTTTAAAATTTAATCAAATATGGTCACATCATCCTTTTTCTTTCACTTTAAATCTCTTAAAGTCTCTTTTTTTAATCAAAATATTTAGCGTAAGATGATGAATTTGAGATATAAAATAAGTTAGCTTTTCCTTGTACACATGTTCGCTGAAAGATAATTGCATCTAGAGGATAAGAAACCATCTGTATTAGTCATTTTGTTCCTATGCTGTAACTGAAGTATGAAAGTTATTTGTATAGATTCTTTAACATTAATGTTATTCCTGTTTTCCTAAGAAAAATGGCAAGTTGAGTTATTGGCTATCTTGGTTTCCAGGAGATTGAAATAGAATGGGGAAAGGGGTTGGCTCAAAAACGGGAATTTGAGGCTAAGCAAAAAGAACTAGAAGTTGAGAAGGAAAAGCCTTTTGCGCGGACCAGGTATACAGAAAGAAATTAGTGTTATGGACTGTCTAAATTTGTTATCTTATTGCTGCAGTAACCTATTACTTTCTTCTCGAGTGTCGTGTATTTAATCTCCACAAGTACTCTTGTCTTTGAATGTTCGTTTTTCATTCTCTTACCCTAACTCTTATGTTGCATTTGTTGTTTTCTTATAGAGATGATCCCGAGCTTGACAAATCGTTGAAGGAGAGGATAAGATGGGGTGATCCTATGGCACATCTAGTAAAGGTAATGTAATGCAATTCTTAGTGCCGACCACTTATGATCGAAGGAGTTTGATATGTTCTGATGACTGAAATGTTTTTTTTTTTTCCGTGTCAATTATCATTTGTGTAGAAGAAATATCCCGAGCCGGTTCTTCCAAACTTGGGGGATAGTGATAAAATGAAGGCATCTGGTTTTGTTGTCCCTCAAGATATTCCTGATCACAGCTGGTTGAAGAGGGGTTTAGATGCTGCTCCAAATCGCTATGGGATTAGGCCGGGACGACATTGGGATGGTGTTGATCGTAGTAATGGTTAGTTACATATTAGCAGTATTTTTTTAAACATGGATTTTCTATTCATATTTGTCATAGAAATATCAGAAAACTGTTCTAAATTATTGACTTTTGCTTGTAGGGTTTGAGAAGGGAATGTTCAAGAGAACAAATGAGAGACAAGCTAAAGACAAAGAGGCTTATCTTTGGTCTGTCTCTGATATGTGAAAACTTACATTATAACCAAAAAATGACACAAATGGTGGTTGTTGATATGCAAATCTTCCAAGTATTCAAGGAACAACATTGGGAGGCATGTTTGTGAAATTGTAATGATGTGGACTTGAGGGATTTAATGTTGAATACGGCCAAACATTGTGCAATGGGAAAGGCCCTTGATTCCATCACTCTAGAACTAGATAAATTATATTGGATGCAATTTATCTTCAGTGTATGACTAGTTTTATTCAAAATTTGCAGAAAAATGAGGATAAATTTTGTGTCAGAGAAAGTGAATTGAATATATTGGATGAGCCAAACGTATATGTAATATTGACATGTTTCTTAAAGTAAACTTAAAATTTTTTTCCAAATTAATTGAGTAGTTTAATTGTTTGTTTGATTTAAAGTGACATTGTTTTTTCAAGTTAAAAAGTGGAAATTGCAAAATGGAGTATGTATTGACATTTTACGTGTGCCACCAGCCACCAATAAAGGACCTGTATGAAGTGATTTCACGTTTTTATTTATAAAATATTAATATAAATTAGCAAATTTAAAGATACTGACAAAATATAAAGAATAAGAGTTTCCAACATACTATAAAGAATAAGAGTTTCCGACAAAATAAAGAATAAGAGTTTAAAGGAAGTACATAAACAAGATAATAAAATAATATTAAAAATGTGATTTTTCAAAATACATATTCTTTGTTAGTTTCTATATTTATATTATCAATATTTTAAAATTAAAAATACCATTTTCTAGAATCTATGTTCTTTATTAGTTAACAATGTATGATATGTTTTTTTCATAAATAATATCCATATACTGCTTTACACGATTGAATCAATAATAGTTGAAGAGTTTGACACGTTGGCTTTAGTTATACAAATTAAATTAAGAGTCTATTTGTTTCAATTTTAAAAAATTGAATTTTTTTTTTTAATTTTTAAAAATAGGTTTTATGAATCTATCCTTCAAAATTTCTAAGTCTGTATTTTTTAGAAAAATCTTTGTATTTTTTAGAAATTTTTAAGTCTTAAAGAATCTATTTGCATTGTATTCTTTGTACACCCCTAATTGTATATCAAATTTATTATCTCAAACAATCATTTATCTATTAGGTAGATTGTTAGAAGTTTCTTACTAAGTGTTAGAGCATTTGAAGTTTCTCGCTTATGTGTTTGAGCATATAAGTCTTTTACTTTAATTTTTGAACATTGAAAGTCTCTTTCTTGTGTGTTTGAGCATATAAGTCTCTTACTTTAATGTTTGAGTATTGGAAGTCTCTTACTTGATTTCTTGAGAATAAAAGTATCTTACTTTAGTGTTTGAGCATTGAAAAGTCTTTTGCTTGTGGGTTTGAGTAAATTGTAATCTTGTGTGATTATAATAAAAATCTCTTGTAAGCATAAGGGGACAAAATTACTTTCAAGTTGTGAGAGGAACCGAGACAATTCTACGTGTCACTCTTTCTTTCTTGCATTCCATATCTGCTGTGTACCTCTGATTGAATCAGATTCTATACCCTGTGTTTAGAATCTGACCAAAGAGTTTAAAAATGAAGCAAAAGTTATTGTAAATATACATGTTGAGCAAATATTCACAAATATAGCATGCGATCAAACAAAATAGGTTAAACCCTCAAACTTTTGCTTTCCCCAGTGAAGTCGCCATTTCTGTTACGGTGAGAATCGTGATACCAAACTATTGATTAACTTGAATCTTAATTCTTAAAATTCACAACCGGATTTTAATTTATCCAAAGGAAAGGTCTAAAGAAAGAAAAACCCTTTTCGCAATGTTACAACAACGCTAAGAGATTCGGGGATCGGGGGTTGGTTATGCCTAGGGTAGGTATTTCACATCCTAAACATCTGTAGTACTCTACAGGAACCTTTTGTTTGTTTGTATGCTAATACTTGTTAAATGTTTGCTTATGGTTTGAGATTGGGTAAAAAGGGCAAAGGGTGAAGACCTAAGGATAGTTTCTAAGTTTGCTCGCAAAGATATCGCATCTTCTGCCTACGTATCCTTACTAGGATAGAATCAGAGCAATCGTAGTTCACCTCACTAGGGATGAAGAACACTTGATTATGATCAAGGTTCCAAAGGGAACAAACATCACAATGCTTGTATAGAGTTTATCCCAACTCTCTAGATCTACATTATACACTCAAGAAAGGGGAGTAAGTAATCATTTCCATGATTCTTACATAGAGTTAACCAAACTCTACCTATCTCTATGTTGAAGAACACTCCTAGTAAAGGTGGGTCTTTTAGACTTAAGCAAAGTCCAATGGCTAGGGTTCTAACTTAACTAAGTTAAGGTTCAAAATGACTTCACAAAGTCATGGGGGTAATGAGCTATCTATGACACTAGGGTCAATAGAGAGACTTTTCCTTTGGAAGGGATGAGATGAGGCAACTTGGATGAGAACTAAAGAGTTTCATCACTTGGGGAAGAAATACTTAACAAAGCAATAAACATTCACACACGATGAATACAAGAGGCATGGTTACAACCAAGCAAATAAGCATATATTACAATAAGCAAGGATTTCAATCAAGATAAATGGTTACAACCAAGAATCATGTATCTTAACAAAGGTGAAGGTAACAACCCAAGAGAGACATATTATCAAATATGAAGGTTACAACCGTGCAAACAAGTCACAACTTAAGGTAAGCATGCCATAGGTCAAAGTGTATCAAATGTAACAACATTAGACATTGATGACAATCATATACAAGCAAGCATGCAAGAAATGTTACAACAGTTCAAGCTCAAAGTTTTAGGAGGAAAATATGTAATTACATGGTAAAAACCAAAGGTAAACAAGCCCTAACATGTTAACTAACACATGGGAATCAATCACAAACAAATCTTACAAGATAAGTCAAGCATGGTTTAAGAGAAATTCAACAAGATGCAAGGTAACGATCCTAACAAGGAACCAACTTTCAAGTAGGCAAAAGGCATTGTGAATATGAAAAACTTGAAATATTTTTTCATCACATGAAACTAGACAATGTCATGAACATTTTGCGAAAAGGATGAATCAAAAATAATAAAGCATGCAAAAGTTATGAATTTTTTGAATTTGTGAAGAAAATAGGAAATAACAAGTGATAAAAAATAATGGAAGTGCCATGACAAGGATTGAACCCACGCTCTCACATTTACCAACCCAAAACCTTACCATTCATCCACTAAACGCGCGCATTGGCAAGGAATGGAAGTGCAAGAAGAAAATATTACAACAAAGCAATTGAAATAAAAACAAAAGAGTTGATCTCCACCCAGATCGAACTCAGGACTGGTAGGTACAAGGGGTATAAGGCGCACAAGTTACAACCACTGGGGTGGCGATACATCAGTGTATTTAGCCACCCCAATTAATACAAAAGGTATCTTTTTGAAATATTTCTGGGCCAGGGCAAGGCAAATACAAGTGATAATGCAAAAACGGTTTGATCCATAACTTTGTCAAAACTTAGTCTTTTTTCATGAAATTTTAGTCTAAGTTGATTGATTTTTGATGAGGATTAGGATGGTAACAACCATGTTATGAAATGAGGTTCTCAATTAAAAACACGATGGCAAGTGCAATTTGGCATGTTAAAATGCAATTTTGAAATCAAAGCATGTATTGAGTTTATACAGACCAAGCAAACATCACACACAACCTTCAAATATGCTAACTGAAGTTTCTATCCTCATGGCTCAAGTTAAAACACCTTAAAACAAGAATGGATATGATGTTGGCAAGCAATAACTGAAAATGCAATGTTGTTTTGGAAAATGAGTTTAAATGCAACATGATACATGTCATGAACAAGTCAGTTAGCATCAAACACAAGTCCTAAACATGTTAAATATAGGTCCTATGCCCAAAGATCAATCAAAAGCAGCTTAACACAGAAATTGGTATGCTGGCAGCTATGAAATGCAAAGGCAAATTGATTATGCAGCAAGAAAGGTCATGTCATGAGCAAAACAATTTCAGGTTATGCAAACACCATACACAAGCCCTAAACATGCTAGCTAATAATTCTATGCTCAAAGATCAATGAGAAACTTCCTAAAACAGAATTTGGTATGCTGTTGCAAACACATAGTAGAAAGTGTAAAACTGATTTGGAAAATGTAGGACATGCTGGCTCATGCTAACATCACACATCAATTCTAAATATGTTAACCAAAGGTTCTAGGCTCAAAGATCAGTTAGAAACATTTTAGAACAAAAACTGGTATGCTAATGGCAAATGCATGGCTGTTTTGAAAAATGGAAAGCAGGTTAATGATGCAGCAAGGTACAGGTTATGTAATAACAATCATCAATATTCCAAGACAACAAAGATACAACATGTTATGGCATGATTCATGGTGAGTACAAAAACCTTCACAGCCACTTTCACAACTTCATTTCAAATAGGGCATTTTGCAAAATCTTAACAAAGATTAGATGTCAATAGTAGCATGATGTAGCATTTACAAACTAGAAACAGTCATGGTTGAACACCAATACTCATGTGCTGGACAGAACTGAGTTTATTCAAATATACATACCAAACATGAAACAAGACCAACATTTTTCTTTTCACAACAGTTAACACATGGAATGATAGCAAGTCAGTTTGACACACAATGGCATATATTGCATATTTTTCACATGAATACACATCAGTAATGTAGCAAACTTGATCAAGGCATACACATACATATTTCACAATAACTGTCCTATGCTAGCAAAGATCAAACGCTTCAAAAATCATGTTAGGCACAAACACATAAGATGCTCAGAAACAAGTCAAAATCCTATCTTGAACTAAACAACACCATTGACAAAATGTTCATGACAACAAACTTGATATTCCAACCAAAACAGGCTCAACAAGTGTGAACTAAAAAACTCCTAGAGTTTAAACATGACCTGGGTGCAGAGATACATCATGAAATGGTTGACAAACACCTAAACATGATATGATCAAGACAAGCATGA